AAGAGAATATCTTCAAAGAGAGTGAGAGATGAACTGAGGAACGAGATTGTAGTTAATAGATGAATCTTAACTATAACTCCTGCAGAGTTCCACGTTTCTTTCATAGGGCAAGGAAGAGCAGAATAAATTATACAAAAAAGGCAGACCGAACATATTTGCATAATAAATTCATCACATTCCATATGCTCATATGGTAGATTCATGGTATTTTCTTAGCATATGGGCTTGGGTAACCTTGGTGAAGGATTTATTTTTAGCATCTCAACAATTTGATCCCTGAGAACTTTTGCAAAACTCTGGGGAGCCCAAGAAACAAGGCCTACAGGCATTCTCACAGTAGATCCAATTAAATCATTGACTACAATTGTTACACACAGTTTTCAAAAGAGTGGAAGGGAGGCATTTAACACAGACATGCATGCACACACACACACACACACACACACACAAAACTAAAAAAACTAAAAATAAAACCACATGGAAATACTTTTTGTAGGGAAAAAAATGGACAGTATTAGATCAAATTCAAAAGTAACATATATTAATAAATTAGCTAATGGTAATAGAGACAATCTGGCCTCTAGTGGTAAAGGCACCAGATTAGACACCGGGAGTTCTAGTCCTGCCTTAGGAATGAAAACTGGCTGGGTGACCATGAGCCAATCACCAGAGACAGAATTCTAGTCCCACTTTAGACATGAATGCCAATTAGGTGATTTGGGGCCAATCCCCAGGAGATGGTGAGTTCTAGTCCCGCTTCAGGTCTGAAAGCTGGCTAGGTGACTCTGGCCCAATCATGAGGAGATGGCGAATTCTAATCCCACCTAGGCCTGAAAGCTGGTAAGGCGACTTTGGTTCAGTCATTCTCTCTCAGCCCAATCGAGTTGTTGTTGTGGGGAAAATAGGAGAGGGCAGGAACATTAGATATTTTTGCTGCCTTGCAGTTATTTATAAAAAAAATAAAGTTGGCTCAATAAAGAATGGAATAATGAAGAGTTAAATATCAATGATTTCAATTGCGCCCTTCATGCTGGCTGTGGAATTCTGGGAGTTGAAGTCCACCCATCTTAAATTTGCCAAGTTTGAAAAATACTACTTCAGACTGATGCAAAACATAGGGCATTCTTGAAGGATTTTCTCTGTTATCTTAGATTAAACAGGGATACAAAGTTACTGGGATGTACATTTTATGCTTTGTAACTGGAAACCCGCCACGATATTCATCTGAACAGTTAAACAGGAGGGATTAAATGACCAAACGAACATATAAAATAGCCATGAGATGGGATCTAATGCCCTCTTCTGGACAGAAAGAGTCCAAATATGAGCTGATGACAAATGTTGAACGGCATTAAGATTATATTCCCATAACAGTATTTCATAATGGCTGCTGTACAGCTAGATCTTATATAACACCCTGCAAGGAAATTACTTAAATTGTGCTAAAATCCCTTCCATCAATAATAGACTAACTATCTACTTATTCCAAATTTTGCTTTCAATAGTCAAACACTTCTAAGGAATTAAAAAAAGAGCCACCACCATTTATACATCTCAGATGTATTACATTCTTTTTTTAAAAAAAAAACAACTTTATTAAATACAAAGTTAAAATATACAAATACACAAACTCAACAAAACAAAAATTCATACAAACAAAATGTCACAACACTTTGTGTTAAAACTAATTAAACTTTCTTTCAATACATTTTACAGTAAATTAAATATTCCCTAATTAATATTATGTGGCAATTATTTCCTGTTTCCTATAGGTTATTTATTATTTATACTCTATCAAACATAATAATCTATTATTAATATTTATTGTTGGGTTATAATTATGTATTTTTACAGATAGATTCTATCTATTGCTTGATTAAAGAACGAGGAAGTCTAGAACTAACATTGTAAATTCCTATCTTTTTGGTGTATGTGTCATAATCTGTTTCGTAAATTCATTTTCCCCCCTTAATTCCCACTTTCTTTCTTTTTTACGTTCTAACCAATTGTACCGCTTATTTCAAATTGAATAAAATTCCGAACCAGCCTTTCCTTTTAATTTTAATGTGAGCTTCTCCATTTCAGCACATTCATAGATTTTTTGAATAATAAATTGTATTGGTGGTATATTAGGCATTTTCCAGAATTGAACCAGCGAGATTCGTGCCGCTGTTAATATGTGGGTTATCAAATATTTTACTTTGGAAGAACAACCTTCTTTGATAATACCCAGGAGGTAGAGTTTAGGTTCCCACTCCAATCCACCTTGGACCAAATTTTCCTCTAACCAAATTTTGATTCTGATCCAAAAAAATTTAAGCACTCGGCATGTCTATTAGAGATGGAAGAAAGTACCATCATTTCCTTTGCATTTCCAACAGATTGGGTTTGATGTTGGATAGATTTTTGCTAATCTGGAGGGTGCTAGATGCCATCTATATATCATTTTATATAAGTTCTCTTTATAAAATACAGATTTAGTTATTGTAAGATTTCTCTGCCAGATTTTTCCCCAGTTATCTAAGTCTATATTATGACCGAAATTTTTTGCCCACGCTATCATTGGTCCTTTCACAATTTCCTCAGCTAATTCATATTCCAATAGATAGTTGTATAATTTGGATATCATGTGGTTTTTTTCTGGGCCCAAAAGTATCTTATCAGATTTAGTGCTCTTTGTTTCTAGTCCAAAAGCTTTTAAAACTTTCTCATATCTTATTGCTATTTGAAAATATGACCAACGATCGATCGTTATTTTTTGATTTTCTAACTCTTGAATCGATTTGAGTTTCCTTTCCATGTCTAAAATTTGGTGATATTTGAGCTTTTTACTAATATCCATTGTATTGGAGTGGAACATAGCCTCCATTGTTGACAACCATATCGGAACTTTGATGTAGTGGTTTTTCCTAATATCTGACCAGGTTTTTATCAAAGATTTATGTAAAGTATGTCTCTGAAAGTATGAGTGGATTTTACCATTCAGATTCCACAAGAAGGCATGCCACCCTATTTGTAAGTCGTATCCCTCTAGTGTTAAAATTATTTTGTTTTCCAATTTAATCCAATCCTTTATCCACACTAACACTGCTGCTTTATAATAGGTCTCCCAGGCAGGGAGTCCAAAACCGCCTCTGCATATTTGTTCAGAATCTAAACTGAACTGAATATTTTATTTGGTCAAATGTGATTAGACACACAACGAATTTGTCTCTGGTACAGAAGCACTGAGTGTACATGTAAGGCACCAGAGAGAAGGTGGGGGGGGGGGGGGGGGAAGAAGAGGAAGAGGAGGAAGAATACCACCACCAATAAAAGGGGGAAGTAAAGAAGATAGTAAAAAGGATAAATAATAGTACTACAGCCACACTATATGTGATAATATGTGATTGTTCTATTTAGCTAGGATGAGGGCTAATCAAAAACAAACCTACTCCAAAACTCATATACATTGGAAAAATAATGGCATACTCAATTAGTTCACTCTGGCTTGTATTTCCTAATATTTTTACTAACTCAACTAAGGAGGAAGCCACAAAGAACAGGAAAAGCTGCTAAGATAGAACATGTGAACAATTTAGGCACTGTAAGGCTGAAGCCTTCCCAATGATTACAACTGTGAGGTCATAGCTTGAAGTTAAAAACCAATTACGGTTTAGTCTCATGCCTAAACACCACATTGATTTCTTTTAATTCCAACCATTAACAGGCATGCTAAGGGCTCCCTACAAAGTTGGGAGCTGTAAATATATGTTCATCAAAACACACTTGCAAGCAGAAATTAAACAGTTTTAGTGCCATGGAGTAATTCTATTTTGAATTAACTCAACAAGGACATAACCGGTTGGGGGGGGGGGAAAGGGGGCAACCCATAGAATTTGCCTGCCCACAGTCCATTAATTTCACATGGATGAGAAGAAGACTGAAAACAATTCTGAAGACCAGGAGATTAGTCTCCTTGGTAGATCACAGGACTCATTTGCCCCAGTGAACAGGAGATATCCACAGGACAAAATGGATCTTGCACCAACACTACAAGTTTTGGTCCCTTTGTGCATGAATCTTGACACCGTACAGACTTATGAAAAGGCCAGTGCTTGTAATGCAACATTCACTTCTTAATCTTGATAAAGGACTTCTGGACACCGCTGCCTCTCTAAAAGCAGAATCGTTAATTTCAAATTAAAGTGTGCTTTAATTAATTGGATGTGTTTTGTTGCTCTTTATCAATGCTACCTTTTCAGCTCAGTGTACAATATAAGAAAACCATGTTTATTAACATTTTAGAAACCATTATTAATATTGATAATGAGATTTTTCTTAAAGGTATTCATTCATTCATTTAAATCTCCAGACCTCTCGTCTGATTTAAGTGACTGTAGGACCCTTGAAGCTCTATGAATTTGATTGTTTCCTTGACAATTTTTCATTGCCAACTAGGTTAACATCATCAGTGCTAAAAGAGAGAAGGATTTGCTCTCTGTTTATATACAAATAATTTGCTCTCTGTTTCTCTGTCAAAATTGGTGAGAGTATTTTCTTTTTTATTGTTCCTTGATTAGGCTGTTGTTTACTGCAGTAAACAATACCCGAATCAAGGAACTACCAACTGTGAAAACAATCGAACAGTAAACCCCACTCCCTTCTAGCACTAATGATGTTATCTAGTTTGGTAATGAAACATCTGCAAAAAAATAACCAAGTTCAGAAAGCGCCAAGGACCCCACAGTTCAACTCTTGGGTGCTAATGTTCTCTTCGTTGGTCACTTAAGTAAATTCTAAATTACTTATATCAAAATTGTCATACTGTTAATAATCTCTAGTTAATATTGTATAAATGCCACTGTATCTAAATAATATAATGCATCATTTATTTATTTTAATACAATAAAACAATACTTTTTAAAAAAAAAACTGGAGAAGATAGAATGACCCACTTTTCAGAGATGAGTAGGCAACTTTAGTCAAATTTCCCGTTATCCTGATGAAAGAAAACTCACGTATTTTATAGCCCAGCTTTTCTGCATGGATCCTTTTGGCCATGAATTGTCCTTCGATCAAGGCCCGTATTTCCACTTCCTTTGGGAATGCTGGTGTCTGAAAAGAAACTAAACATATAAGCCTCCAATGCCACCTGTTTGGGGCAGGCATCTGTAGCGCTAGCTTGTACAGGCAGTCCTCGTCTTATAACCGTTCACTCAGTGACCATTTGAAGTTATAACACTGAAAAATGTGACTTACAATCGATCCTCACACTTACAACCGCTGCAAAATTTCACATGATCAAAAATTGAATGTTTGGCAACAGGCATATATTCAGAACAGTTTCAGCATCCAGGGATGATGTGATAGCCATGCAACCTTCCCAGATGGCTTCCCATGAGCAAAGCCAATGGGAAAAACTGGATTTGTTTAATGACTGCATGATTCACTTAAGGCAATACATTTGTAAAATCGAGTTTGACCCACTTAACAGCCACTTTGTTTAGCAACAGAAATTCTGGCCTCAATTGTGGTTTTAAGTCGAGGACTATCTGTATGGTGCCTATGTGGATTTCTCCACAACTGGATAGGTACTATTTGCAACAGTTGTTCAGTCACACACATACAAACCTCCCAGAAGATTACAACAGGCCCAAAGACTGCTTGTAAATCATCTGTTTAATTTGTGAAATAATTGGTGTATTCTGGGAATTGAAATCTAAAATATCTTGAGGGCATCTCATGATGGAAAGCTGAGCCATTCACTTTGGAGGCCTCAAAAAATAAAGGAACAGTCTAGGATTGCACTTGAAGGAAAGGTAAAATTAGTGCCTGGTGATTTTACAAGTCAATTCAAACTTCATGGTACAGGAAATCTGGAGTAACCCATAAATAGAGATATAAGGGCTCTTACCTCGACATTGTGGTCATCGAACCTGTGAATTCCCACAGCTCCTGGTGTAATTTCCCTCACATCAAAATAAAAACCTAAATTAAATATTAGAAAAAGTAAACTTAGAACTATTAAGTCTTCAAAGAATTACAATTAAATAAATGTCAACCTCCCCCAAGATTTTTTTGCGTTTTGTTGAACGAACAAGGAGGTCCTTGCGTTAAAATGAAGTGACTGCAAACTGAAACCACAACTATGTCTACTTCAGCTTTCCTTTGCTTTACAAACCTGCAAAAGTCATAAACGCAAAAATAGGTTGCTAAGTGAGGTCTACTATTGACCTCACCCCTTTCCTAAGAGGTCTGTAGGGGGCGTGCATAAGCGCACCAACGTGCCTACCGTCCCTGTCCTATTGTTTCTCTTATTCTTCTTTTATTTTTCTTATATGTACCCATTTCATGTATTCACAACTATGTATACACTTATACTTATCTTGTAAACAATTGGCAAATCAAATAAATAAATAAAATAAAGTTACTTTTTCATCATGGAGCCTCTGGTCCTTTCTGTGCTCTTTGCGGGTTTTTTTGCTTTACAGACACTTCATTGACTAAGCAACATCATCAGTGCTAGCGAGTGTGGGGTTTCCCCCCCCTCCCGCTTGTTTATTATGTACAGTAGCTCCCCTTGCCAGGGCGGGGGGATAGTTTTCTCCTTGGTAGTTCCCAGATTAGGATATTGTTTTCTGTTTGATTATTTATCTGGTATCAATCCCCTGCTCAGAGAGTCTTTTCGTTCTAGTCTTTTTGTTTTCTTCTTAGCTTTTTATTGCCTCTTTTGAATGTACGAATATGGTTTATTTCAACCAGACAAAACCAGACAGACAGCAAGCTGGCTGGGGAATTGTAGAAATCTGTACGTCTCAAAGATGCCAAGATTGAGAAACACTGGGCGAGTTAGTTCCAGCCAAGCCATCTGATGAGACAGGCAGAAAGAAGCACTGCCTCTCCTCCAATTGCTTCGTTCCTGGAATAAACCCCACCTAACTAGCGGATGAGAGGGGGAGGAAATTATAAGCCTTGCAAGATACCTACCCACCTTTCCACCATTTCCAGCTGCTGTTGATTCAAGAGCTTTTGAGAATTCTTCCCACGAGCCCAACGCAAGTTCATCTCGGATCTTCTCTCGCATCAAGGAGCCATTCTTGTAGCTAAAACAAATAACAGTACACGATTTCTTTGATTACTCCAAGAGGTTCAGTCAGAATTCTGAAGCAACATCATTTTATTATTTGGCACGAGAAAATCAGAAAGTATCTGCAAGCTGCCAAGTAGCAGTGTGAATCTTAAGAAAAAAGCCTATTTTCACAAATATATATTGATACCAAGGCCAGAGGCTTCCTGATGCCTGACTTCACCATGATTTAACTTAAGTGTGTAATAAATGAAGGACTAGATCCTTGAGTTTCAATTAATGGGATCCTATTGCTGCTGCATTCCAGGTTCCAGCTCCTATAATTCCCCCAGGCATTATGGCCCATGGTGAACTATGGAAGTTTAACACCTTCTGCAATTGGAGAAGATTGGACATAACCGAACAGTCTCCTCTATAAACCAATTTACTAAAGTCTCTGGTGAGGAACGATAATGTGTGCAATATTATTTTCACACACCCAAATTTTTTGCAAGTTAAAGGATTTAGGTGTCCACTTCCACTGCGTTAGTAACAGTGGTGGTGAAGCTATCTAAAGCAAAAAAAATTGTAATTAAACTTCTTCAAAGAAAAATCTTTCATTAATTTTTACAAATCAAGCAAAAAATAATTTGTAAGTAATCTGAATAAATGGATTGTTCATTGCAACTTTGCCTGTGAAGTTATTGGTTTTTCCCTGGCACAGGGGGTCTTCAAATTACAACCATTCATTTAGCCATCGTTAAGTTGCAACGGCACTGAAAAAAGTGATTTGCAACAATTCTTCACACTTAAGATCATCACAACGTCCCCACAGTCACATGATCAAAATTCAGAGTCACATGATCCCAGATAGCTCTTGAAAAGCAAAATTAATGGGGAAAGCCAGATTTGTTTCACAACCATATTATTTACTTAAGAACTGCGGTGATTTGCTTAAAGAAGGTTGTAAAATTGGGCGTGAGTCACTTAGCAATGAAAATTCAGGTCCCAATTGTGGTCATAAGCTAAGCACCATTTATATACAACGGAGGATGCAAAGATCTGTAATAATGCAATGTTTCATGCTATTATCTTCATTTTTTGAGTAGCAAAGTACTTAGAATAAACTAACTAAGTGTATTCCCTACTGCAAACAGGTCTTTTCTTAACATGGATTCTTGTAGATTGAGTTGTCTCTTCTCAACATTCTAGCCAATCAGACTGATTTAGAAATTGCAATCCCTATTAAATCTGGAAACCTTAACTTTAGACATTCATGGCCTGGTTTTGGGAACTCCCATCCCAATTATGGGAATTCAGTCTGGAATAGGTTAAAGCAGTCACTCTTTTTCGCTCAAGGTTGAGAAGCTGTCCAGGGAAAGAGAGAAGTTGTTTTAATGTGCTTCACAGAGGTGATGCAGAAACATCTTGTAAGAGAACCAGTTCGATCTAGTAATTAAGACACCAAGCTAGAAACCAGGAGACGGTGAGTTCTAGTCCCACCTTGGCATGAAAGCTGCCTAGGTGACTTTGGGCCAATCATCAGGAGATGGTGAGTTTATAGTCCCACTTTAGATATGAAAGTTGGCTGGGTGATTTGAGAGCAATCACCAGGAGACGGTGAGTTCTAGTCCCGTCTTAGCCATGATAACCAAATGGATGACTTTGGGCCAATTACCAGGAGACAGTGAATTCTAGTCCTTCCTTAAAGCATGAAAGCCAGCTGGGTGATTTTGGGCCAGTCCCTCTCTCTCAACCCAACCCATGTCATAAAGTAAACAAAATAGGAGGAGAATAGTTATTAGATACTCTCGCCGCTTTGGGTTATTTATTAATATAATAAGGCAGGATTAAAAAAAACTAAATAAATAAAAATAAAGCTCTGAAGTACATTTTGAGAATAAAATCTGAAACATTAAAGAACTAGAATAAGTGACACGAATTTTGATTTTTATGAAGCTAATCTGATACATCGTGTAGTAGGAGGCACGCACCAAAGTAGGGCCATAAATGCTTGTGAATCAACTGGATTACAGAAAATGTGACCCTCCAGAGCAGGGTTTGGCTCTTTAATCCAGAGAAACAGGGTATCACTAGTGCCGAGGCTAATCTGGGGAAGAAAATAATCAAGGTATTAGCAGAAAAGCAGAAAAAAAGCAATACAGGAACTAAATCAAACCTATTTGTTTGCCCTACTAATCATCTTTAAATTACACATTGCAGCAATTGAATTCTTGTGGAATTGGCTTTGCTTGCCAGCTTTATATAAAACATAGAGCAGGAAAAAAAAACTTCTAATGGAATCTAAGGATTTATTGTGGAAAATTCATGGCTACATAATCCTCAATGACCAAGAGCAACTTCAGCTGATAACTAAAGTGGCATTCCGATCACACAGCAACAAGCAAGCTTTCTTATCACTTATACAGGTGATGACTTACAACAATTCACTTGGGGTCTATTTGAAGTTAAAATGGCACTGAAAAAAAAAGAGACTTATGGGTGTTTTTCACATCTAACAACTGTTGTAACATCCCCCATGGTCACCTGATCAAAATTCAGATGTTTGGCAACTGACTCATATTTATGACGGTTAGTTAGTTAGTTTACTTTATTGTCATTGCATCTCATACAACAAAATCAAACACCATATTCCTGCACATCATGACCATGAAAATAAACACAAACACACATCCTTCACCCTCCACACATTGAACCGAAACCCCCAACACCACACCAACACTGCACAATACAGTAGAATTTAAAAGAGCTACTGTCCTGGGATAGAAGCTGTTTTTCAGCCTATTTGTCCTTTGTTTTTATTATTCTGTACCGTCTGCCAGATGGTAATAGTTCAAAAAAAGGCTGCCCAGGATGAGATAGATTTTTGAAGATGTTTTGAACTTTCTTAAGGCAGTGGAAGCTATAAAGCTCAGAGGGGAGAGGGCAACCCATGATCTTCTGGGCAATGACATTAACCCTCTGGAGTGCTTTCCTATCTGCCACTGTGCAACTGGCAAACCATACAGAGGTGCAGTATGTTAAAATGCTCTCTATGGTGCAGCGGTAGAAGGTCACCAGCAGTTTCTCATTCAGTTGTTGTTTTCTGAGAAATCTCAGGTAGTATAATCTCTGCTGGGCCCTTTTGACCAGGGCTGCAATGTGAGCACCCCAGGTCAGGTCTTCTTTTAGGGTAACACCCAGAAACTTAAAACTGGCCACTTGCTCCGCTCGGTCTCCATTGATAAGCAAGGGCTGGATGTCTGATCTGTTCCTTCTATAGTCCACTTTAAGCTCCTTGGTCTTATTGGTGTTGAAGACCAAGTTGTTGTCTCCACACCATGAAAGCAACCATTGGTCCACCTCATCTCGGTAGGCAGACTCATTCCCTCCCGGAGATGAGTCCCACCACTGTTGTATCATCTGCAAATTTAGTAATAGTATTACTAGTGTGAATGGGAATGCAGTCATGCACATAAAGTAAGGCAGGGGTCCCCAACCGCCGGTCCACGGACCGGTCCCGGTCCGCGGAACAAGTCTTACCGGACCGCTGGTTGCTGGGCGCCGCCATCTTTTTTTGGTAAAAAAGTGCTTCCGGTGAGCTTTTCCGGGTAGAAAGCTCACCGGAAGCACTTTTTCATCAAAAAAAGATGGCGGCGCCCAGTTGATGCCGGTACCGGGCCGCGGCGCCCAGCTGATGCCGGTACCGGGCCGCGGCGTCAAAAAGGTTGGGGATCACTGAAGTAAGGGACTCAACACGCAACCCTGTGGTGTACCAGTGTTAACAATAAGGGCTGAAAAGGTATGATTACCTAATCTGACCCTCTGTGAGCGTCCAGACAGGAAATCCATAATCCAAAGGCGGATTGAATGAGAAAGGCCAAGGTCCAGAAGTTTAGACACTAGTCTATGTTGAAGAATTGTGTTAAATTGCAGTATCCTGGGAGGAAGGTGGGGGAGGTGTCATGTGATCCCTTTTGTAATCTTCTGATGAGCAAAGTCAACGGGAGAAGCCAGATTCATTTAACAACCATGTTACTAGCTTAACTGCAGTGATTCACTTAACAACCACAGCAAGAAAGATCGTAAAATGGGGCAAAACTCATTTAACTCTCTAAAACTGGTCATCCCTCACTTTTTTTCCAATGCCGTTGTAACGCCAAAGAGTCACTAAACAAACTATTGCAAGTCAAGGATATCTTTAAATGAACAGCGATAATAAATTAGTGGGCGGCTCATAACTAAGCAATGCCCACTTCTGTGCTGAGATAGATCATGAAATTTTTGCTTCTCTGGATGCTGCTTATCAGCAAGGAAGGATTTTAGGGACAGGGCCACTTCTATTCCACCAAAATCGACAGGATCAAAATACGTAACTCATTGGTGCTCTCTAAGCCTCGTGACCTCAAGGCTCCTAACCCAATTAACAACATGAATGTGAGTGAATGAAGATGGGGCACTTACTGCTATGTCTCCTTCAGAAAGTCTCATTCCAGCCAGAGACGCTGAAAATGCAAATAAAAGTTCAGTTAAATAATAGACTATGCAAAGCGTACGAACAAGAAAATACCCAGTGCATAAGGCAGAGACAATGCCAGGACAATAACACTGTGTCCAATATTTTAATATGTAACTAATACAATTTATAAAAGAAAAAAGAAAAAGAAAAATACCCAGTCTGAACCGTCACGAAGACCGGTAATACTGAAATAATCAATTATCATCTCTCAAGTTCTAGTGATTCTAGTTGGACCTAAGTACAGGTAGTCCTCAACTTACAACCATTTGTTTGTAAGTGGATTATAACTTACTTTATAACTTCAAATGTTTGAAGTTATAGCAGAAGTTATAGCAGAAGTGAAAAAATTAACTTATGACTTACAACCATGGCACCATTGATCATAGTCACGTGACCAAACTTCGGAGCCTTGGTCCAAAGGTACTTTTTGAAGAGGCAACTGGATTTCCTCTGTTTTTCTTTGAAGACATTTCACTTCTCATCCAAGGAGCTTCTTCAGCTCTGAAGCTCTTTGTTGTGGTTTGCCAGCAGCAGAATCGGACAGTGGGGAGGAAAGGGGACCAGTCAGGGAGTCTGGAAAGGACTTGGATGAGGGTCCTGTGTTCGATGTAGAGATGGAGCCAGGACCATCTGGGAGTGGGGTGCTGCCTTTGGAGCTTCTGGAGTCTGGCAGCAGCGAGGCAGAGGACCCAGGGGAGCTTGTTCCCAGTGTGCAGGTGCGCAGAGCTGCTAGAAGGAGAGTAGCTGAAACAAAAGGGGCTACTCGGGAGTAAGGCTGGGAGGTGATTGTCCCTCCCATAAGGTATAAAGGGCAGGCCAAGATGACAAAACCTTTGCAGGAAGCAAAGTAGTTCTGAGTCATCCTTGAAGCTCTTTATACTCCAGTTGGTTTTCTTGTACTTTGGTTGGTTTCTTTTCTAGTTAATTTGATACTTTCTTATTCATAGTTAATTTGATACATTCTCAAAGATCCATCTCATCCTGGGAGCCCTTTTTTTGAACTATTACCATCTGGCAGACAGTACAGAATAATAAAAACAAGGACAAATAAGCTGAAAAACACCTTCTATCCCAGGGCAGTAGCTCTGTTGAATTCTGCTGTATAGCGCGGTATCGGGAGTTTTCGGTTCAATGTGTGGAGGGTGAAGGATGTGTGTTCATGCTTATTTTCATGGTCATGATGTGCACTGAAGATGGTGTTTGATTTCGTTGTACGAGGTCCAATGACAATAAAGTAAACTAAACCAATCTACTTCTTTTTTGGCAGCACTTCACAGAAAAGAAAAGTGGGTGCTTATCTCTAGGGACTGTTTGAGATTTGTTACCGGCTGGGAATGAAGACAATTCCCAGTGTTGCAATAAAATAGGTTTTGCTATTAAAACAAGTTTGTGATAATTACTGTTTATGAAGCCTGGGTCAGAACACTCTTCTTTTTGGGATGAGAAGCGAAGAGTCTTCAAAGAAAATCAAAGAAAGTCCAGTTGCTTCTTCAAAAAGCACTTTTGGGACAACCATGACCTGGATGACTGAGAATCTCCATAGACATTCGGACACTTGGTAATCAGGATATATTTACAGCTCCTGCAGTGTCCGAGGGTCATGTGATCACTATTTGCATCCTTCCCAGATGGCTTCCAGCAAGCAAAGTCAAAAGGAAAGCTAGATTCGCTTAACAACCACAGATTCACTTAACAACTGTAGTGATTCACTTAAGAACCATAGCAAAAAAAAGGCATCAGATGCGACTCACTGAACTTGCTTTGCAATGGAAATTCTGGCGCCGGTTTTGGTTGTAAGTTGAGAACTCCTTGTAGATTTTTCTTCTTTGAACGGCTGCACTGCATTAAACTTTGAAAATACCAAGGTTTCTCCAGGAAATGTCTACTTTAACACATCGTTGAAGAAATTATTCATAGAGAACATTTTTGCTATGGAATAATTATACAGACATTTCACCTGCCTCCTCAAGATAAAATTGAACAAAAAAAAAGTTCCTTGCTTCAGAATTTTAAACCTTCTTACCTGGATTGTCTCCAGTAAATGCTACTATTTTGCAGGCAGGATTAAACCCAAAGCGTTCAGTGTAATAGGGTGAAATTAAACCCTAAAGAATGAAATTTAACAATTATTTATAGAAACAAATGATATGATGATTTGGTTTCAGAAGAAAACATTTTGAACAGAAAAACCAAGGCACCCCTTTAAAGAATGTTGGGACCTTCCCTTCCAGGTAAGAGTTCCCAGTTCCCTTGGAAGAAAATCAAAATGATTCCGGCAGTTTGAATTTGCAAAAGATGAATTATGTTTTTAATTGCTTATTATAAAAACCAGACAGGTTTTTTAAAAAAAAGGTTTGATGGATGAGTGGGTGGATGGAGTGGATGGGATGAGATGGTTGATACGTGGATGGGATAGGTGGAGGGAGGGATGGGATGGAATGGGATGGGATGGTGGATGGATGGATGCTTCAATCAGTCAATGGGTGGATGGAGTGGGTGAGTGGATGGATGGATGGATGGATGGATAAATAAGATGGATGAGTGGGTGGATGGAGTGGATAGATGGGTGGATGGATGGATGGATGGATGGATGGATGGATGGATGGGATGGATGAATGGATGGATGGATGGGATGGGATGGGATGGATGAATGGATGGATGGTTCAATCAGTCAATGGTGTATGGATGGGATTGGATGGATGGATGGATGGATGGATGGGTGAGTGAGTGGGTGGATGGATGGATGGATGGATGGATGGATGGATGGATGGATGGATAAGTCAGTTGATAGGTTGGTGAAGGTGGCTGGGTGGGTGGTTAGATGGGATGGGATGGGATGGATGGATGGGTTAGTCAGTCAGTTGGTCAATAGATGGGTGAATGCATGGGATGGGATGGAGGGAAGGAGGGAGGGATAGGTCAGCCAGTTGATGGGTATATGGATGGGTGGGTGGGAGGGTGGGTGAGTGGTTAGATGGGATGGAATGAGATGGATGCATTGATACATAGATGCACGGATAGATGAACTGAGAGACAGAATTTGTAGCAAGGATCCATCAACACTACTAATAAGAAATGCTTGAAAATGCCGCTATTTCTTCCAAAGGTACCTGTGAATCAGGTGAACAGAGCCTGAATAAGCTATCTTCAGGAGAAATAATGACAATCTAAGTCAGTTTAAGTCTATACTAAGTAACAGTTTGATCTACTGGTTAAGGCACCAAGAAAGAAACTGGAACACTATGGGTCCTGCCTTAGGCACAAAGTCGACTAGTTGCATCATTCTCTCATAGCCTTAGGAAAAAAGACAATGGCAAATCACTTCCAAAACCTTATCAAAAACCCTCAAGGGATTCATCCAAGCAGTCACCAGGAATCAACATTGACTCATAGGAACAATAACAATAAATGTGTAGCATAGAATTTCCCATTGACACTCCAAATAAATACAGGGTCTACAGATTTTAGTTCTGATTTCTCCCACTGTTACACTCGCTTATTTGTTCCACAGTTAATCGTACCAGTATTTTGCTGGAGGGAACAGGTTGGCCCAGCTTTTTTCCCAACTGGGGTGCACAAGCATCAAGGCAGACTGGATTCCAAACTTTTTCCCGAATCTGCAATAAATTCATGCCAGATCCTGCAAGAGGAAAATAGAATTATTTTCCAACAGATTCCTTTAAAAAGTAATCTTGCATAGATTGCAAGAGAGAAAGGAAGATGAAAAACATTAAAATTTAAATTCTGTGCATTTACTTAAGATTGTTCCTCATCATCTGTTTAATGTTATTATTGGTGTATCATTTGTTATTATCAGACACATTCTGGGCATATGAAGCTTGCAGAGTAAGACAGACCTGAGAACAAAATAGAAACAGGCTAACAATCTTTTCCCAAAAAAAGCATATTGAGTAAGACAACTGTTACCAAAATCACAGCAAACAAACAACATATTTTGCTTTGAAGTGGCAGCATTAAATTGCCAAAGAAAGCGAGGGAAGTTACAGGTAGTCCTTGACTTACGACCACGATTGAGCCTAAGATTTCTGTTGTTAAGTAAGACAATTGTTAAGTGAGTTTTGCTCCATTTTACAATCTTTCTTGTCACAGTCATTAAATTGCTGCAGTTGTTAAAGCTACTAACATGGTTGTTAAGTGAATCTGACCTTGCTTGTAAAAATGTCACAAAAGTGGATCACGTGACCCAGGGAACGCTACAACCACCATAAATATGAGTCAGTTGCCAAGCATCTGAATTTTGATCATGTGACCACAGGGATGTTGCAATGGTCATAAGTGTGAAAAATGGTCATGTTACAATGTTTAGTGCCATTGAACAGAATAGAAAAACAGTGTTGGAAGGAACCTTGGAGGTCTTCTAGTCCAACCCCCTACTTAGGCAGGAAATACTACACCACTTTAGACAAATGGCTGTCCAATCTCTTCTTTAAAACTTCCAGTGTTGGAGCATTTACAACTTCTGGAGGCAAGTTGTTCCACTGACTAATTGTTCTAACTATCAGGAAATTTCTCCTTGGTTCTAAGTTGCTTCTCCCCTTGATTAGTTTCCACCCATTGCTTCTTGTCCTGCCCTCAGGTGCTTTGGAGAATAGCTTGACTCCCTCTTCTTTGGGGCAGCCCCTGAGATATTGGAGCACTGCTATCATGTCCCCCCCCCCCCCCCCCGAGTCCTTCTTTTCATTAGACAAGATATATCAATTTCCAGCAATCGTTCTTCGTATCTTTTAGCCTCCAGTCCCCTAATCATCTTTGTGGCTCTTCTCTGCACTCTTTCTAGAGTCTCAGCATCTTTTTTACATCGTGGTGACCAAAACTGAGTGCAGTATTGTAAGTTTGAACAGTCACTAAACGATTGTAAGTCCAGGACTAGCTGTACGCATTTTTCTTATGCAGATACTTCGAAGTAGGGAATACTTCGACTAAGAAGTCTTGCCTTGCAGAATATGGGTAGCCCAGAATTTGGGGCCAGAAGCTCCATTTCTAAGCAATGCAGCTGTTAGATGAATGATCATGGGACTATGTCTGATTTTACGATCTTTTCTATCCTGGTCGTTAATAAAATCATGGGGTTGTGAAGAACTCCGGCTTTCCCTGTTGACTTTGCTTGTAGAGACCAAGCTAAGAAAGTCACAAACGGTGATCACATGACCGCAGGCACTGCGACTGTCATCAGCACATTGCCAGGTGCCTGAATCGCAGGGCCTGCGACTACGGGGATATTGCCACAGTCGAAAATGCGAGGACCCGTCATAAATCACTTGTTTCAACAACGCCGTGACTTCAAATGGTTGTGAATCAACAAATGGTTTTAAGTTGAGAGCTACCTGTACAGATTTCCTCAAGGGAAGTGAAGGGTTGCAGACCAAAGGTTACTGCAATGATCAAAGAAAGCAAAATGAAATTCACAACCTCATAGATATATATAGTGGGTAGACAAGACTGAGGCTAGGAGCTCTTTGCTCATCTACTGGTGGTGCAGCGGTTAGAGTGCAGTACTGCAGGCTACTTCTGCTGACTGCTGGCTGTCCGCAATTTGGCAGATCGAATCCCACCAGGCTCCAGGTTGACTCAGCCTTCCATCCTTCCGAGATGGGTAAAATGAGGACCCAGATTGTTGAGGGCAAGAGGCTGTAAAACTGCTTAGAGAGGGCTGTAAAGCACTGTGAAGCTGTGTATAAGTCTAAGTGCTATGGCTATTGCAACTGGATCAATGCTCCTTCTTTATCCTGTCTGTCTTCTTTTTTTTAACCTGAGGCCACCCATTGAAAGATCCGACATGAAATCTTCCTGGCAACGAAGCAAATTTTTCTACCCCACATTTGGGCTTTCTCTATGTCTATTGCTATTTTTAGTTTTGCGATCCAAGCTGTGAAGAACTGGGGATCAAGAGAGGCTTAGGATATAGTTGGAGGAAATGTTGGCGGATACCCTTCTAGCGAAATTTTAACTGCCCTTAACTGTGCTAGAGTTTTTGTGAAGTCAGTGAGAATTAGCCTGTCATGGGCTCTAATCCGAAGAAGATCCAAGAACACAAACACACATGGACATAGATCTGAGAAGATGTTCAGATTTGAGAAGAGTCTCAAAATCTCTCCAGCAGATCGTCTCGTCGTGACTTTCAAAATCTCAGTAATATGAAATTGAGATTTAGCTCAGGCATCTCCAACCGTAATGCCCTCCAGATCTGCATTAATTCCAGATTTTGCAATCAACTGTTACAGTCCCAGTGAATCTGAAGAGTTGCCACTGGACTGGAGAATGGAACTTAAGAAAAAAGAAGATCTCCAGCATTCTTGGAAGCTTTATAAACAGGAGGGGGGAGAAATCTTGTTTTTCCTGCTTTCATGTCTCTATTCTCTTTTTTTCTTTTTAAAACAGTGAAGCCAAGTATTTGCTTTTTCCATTCCTTTCTCTTTTTCTCCTGCTTTCTCCATTTCAGATAAACTTCCTTCAAAAGGAGGAAGAAGTTCCTTCAAAAGGAGGAGGAAGGGAGAGTTGGGGGCAGAGACAAATCTTTCCCGGTAGGTGTTGCTAGTTGTCGGGTGTCCAAAGAGCAGAAAGGAGAAACGCTAGCCGAACTGCAATTCCCAGAGGAATTATTTCTATCCTCTTCTCCATCTCCACTGAATAGAGGGGCCTTAAATCTGCTCCTCCCTGGAAACCTGCCAGATCCCCGGTTCCTACTGGAAGAAAGAAACACTGAAGGTGTCATGCCAACTGGCATGAGGCTGGCTCTCCTGCCACAGACCAGAAAGCAATTAGCAGGCAGGCAAATTGCCACGGGCACTTGCTCCGTCCAAAAACTGAGGATTATGAACACTTTCCAAGCCAGGTGGGAGCTATTTGACAGATCCTATCTTCTCCTCTGTCTGCAGGACACAGCATTTCATCATTTAAATGATGCCTCTTTTAAAATGCAGCCCCCAATAACCAGCTGAAGCATTCCCAACCCAACATCGAGTTTTAAAGCTTTCGTCTGCCTGGGTAATGCAAAAGGACACAGGGAGGAAAGAAGAGTGAATCTGGAGACAGGGAGAGAAAGTTCTCGGCAAGTAAGGCAGAGGTGGGCTGCAGCCGGTTTGGACTGGTTCACCTGTACCTGTAGTTCTTTTTTTTTTTCCCAAAAATTTTTATTGATTTTTAAAAGACAAACATAAACAAACAAAACACAAAACATGAAAACATAAAACATCTTTTTTGAAAGCAGCTGATCCCAGGTTACATCTCTTCGTACAGACACAAATTTAAGTTCATGCTCATTTTTATATACCGTTCCATATCTTATTACCATTCTACATTTTCTATATAGCTTGACCTCTGACCATCTGGTACTATCCCATCCTATATATCTCACTCTCTGGTTCACTTACCCTACCCACACAGCCGAGCAGATTTCTACAGCTCACCCACCCTACTCCACTGCAGCTGCCCGAGAAGGTGTGCTGGAAGCCGCACGCGTGAAATCACTGCATGTCTCAAGCCCTGCGCAAACGCAGAAGGCACATGCGCAAGTGAAGCGCACGTTTGTGTCCACATTTTCGATGCTGCAGTAGGCGAACCAGTTGTTTAACCACCTCTGGAGTAAGGAGTCACCTGAAAGAATCTAGGGGAGACATGATAGCAGTCTTCCAATATCTCAGGGGCTGCCCCAAAGAAGGGGGAGTCAAGCTATTTTCCAAAGCACCTGAAGGCAGGAGGAGAAGCAATGGGTGGAAACTAATCAAGGAGAGAAGCAACCTGAAACTAAGGAGAAATTTCCCGAGAGTTAGAACAATTAATCAGTGGGACAACTTGCCTCCAGAAGTTGTGAATGCTCCAACACTGGAAGTTTTTAAAAGATGTTGGCTAACCATTTGTCTGAAGTGGTGTAGGGTTTTCTGCCTAGGCAGGGGGTTGGACTAGAAGACCTCCAAGGTCCCTTCCAACTCTGTTATTCTATTCTATTCTATCTGAATGATTGTAGAGAGAAGGACCAAAAAAAAAACATCCAGCACTATTAACAATTGTAGGATGAGGCCAAATAGGAGATTAGGGGATTGGAGGCTGAAACATATGAAGAACAGTTGCAGGAAAAAGATATGTCTAATCGAATGAAGAGAAGGGTACAGGAGATATGATAACCGTTTTCCAATAGCTAAGAGGCTGCCACAAAGAAGAGGGGGTCAGTCTGTTCCCCAAAACAACTGAAGGCAGAACAAGAAGCAGTGGGTGGAAAGTAATCAATCTAGAAATAATGAGAAATTTCCTAATGGGAGAACAATTGATCAGAGCGATGGCTTGTCTCCAGAAGCTTTCGGTGTTCCAACACTGGAGGTTTTTAAGAAGAGATTGGACAGCCATTTGTCCAGAATAATATCGTGCAGGGGATTGGACTTGAAGACCTCTAAAGTTCCTTCCAACACTGTTATTCTGTTACTCTGTTATTGTATAGAAAGCAGAAAAGAAATGGGAATTTATCTAAAGGGAATGGACCCCTTATCAATGACAATCAAACAGGTTGGGTGCCCTCCATTCTCATGAACCACCATCTCCTTCTTTCTAGAAGGACAAATAGCCTGGACTTAACTTTTCAAAAGAGGCTCACAGCCACAAGTGGGGACAGCCGCGTCACCTCCTTTT